ATGGTATTTGACTCAAATCACTCAACAGCTAACAGTTACTGAAAGGTGAAAAAAGAAAAGTAAAAAAATAAGCTGCAGGAATTCCAAAGTAGTCAATAAAAAATATTCCAAAGCAGGAATCCCAAAGCAGTCCATAAATAATATCCCAAAGCAAGAATCCCAAAGCAGTCCATAAATAACATTTCTATTGGGACCCAACCCGGCCATCCCTTTGTCTTTATGTATGGATTCAATCATAAAATGATGGCATGAAATCAAACAAAATGAATAAAAAAAAGCTCCAAATGATTTCCTCGCCCTGAAGAATGAATTATCAATTTACTTGTCAATTCATTTCCCTTAACCCTATACAACTGGAAATGTCAATCTTATCATTTTGGTCCTCCCTCCTCCTCATTCTAAATGTGGTCCTAGGAGCACTTGATTCATAACCTAAAAGTCATGGGTTTTAATTTCGATTATTCATTCAGATCCAAAGAGCCTATAAATGTTATTCTATTTCCTTTTATGGGTTGTTATATTCCTCTATTGATGCATATTTTGGTTGGATAATTAATTGAACTCATAATTTTTGCCTTTCGAAGGGCATTTATCTGAACAAATGTTACCAAAGAAGATTTGATAAGGAAAATAAAATTAAAAACTATCACATGAGATATCATTATCACAAAAAACATCATACCCCACAACTTCAACCATTATCTCCCCTCCAAGGCTTTGGGTAACAACACGTTGATATTCTAACATATTACAGTAATCTGTATTATGAAATCATACATTTCAACAAAGGAATTTCATGGTTGAAATATTACGTGCTTACATCTACGAGATCAATTCTATGAACTATTAACAAAACGTCCTTCAATTCATACGCAAAATTTCACTCTAATTTGCTTTCAATTGCAAAACATTCTACAGTTAGTTGTACAAATTCTGCACATTCTATTCCTGTAATTTTTTTGGTGAAAAATAATCAAATATCGTACATTAAACATCTGAAATTTAATTTGCGATACACAAACAGGTAAAATTTCTGATGACATTTCACAAATACAAGAGTGATTATTAACCACGAAAAAGAAATCAAAGCAATCAATCAATGTTGGGGGCTCCACCTCTCTCGCTATAAGACCCATCAATTTGATTCTCACATTCCAAATTTTCCATTAGGGTTTCATTTGGCACAATAAAAACTCTAGGTGGGCTCTTGTTATCTATATATAATCAAGAAAGTATCTAGCATACATATTAGGTGAAAAATTTAGAAAACCCACATAGTTTAACTTGAGAATTAGAGTGAAAAAAATTACCTTAGAGTGGTGATTTTGAGTGCAGGCTGTGCAGCTTCCAATGAATTGAAGGCTTAGGTTATTAAAAAATAGGAGAAGAAAATGGGCGCCTAAAAAATCTGGGCCTGAGGCGGATCTTTGGCCTTTCCTCACGTCCGGCCCTGGAACAGAACTAGATGGAAAGGCCTTTAGAAGACATAATAGTTTTTGCATATACTAGAGGAGATTTCCTTCCACCTTTCAACAATCCTGCTCAGGTGTGCCTTGTACAAAAATTGACCTTCTGTATGTTTTTCTATGAGAAAATGTGTCGATCGCAACTCCGCGCCTGAGGTTATCATTGATTTGAGTTGACCATCACCAGGTAATGTGGGACAATAGGTTTCTTAAAGAAGAGTTAATTTTTACAAATGAATTGAACCCGAACGCTCCATTTCTTTTTGTTCTCTTGGTAAAACAAGCTCCAACAAGTGCTTAAAATGAATTGGAAGTAACTTTATTTATATATTTTTTTGAATCTTATACTTCTTACATGTTTTAGCATTTTATCTTATTTAAGTTCTTGGACTTGATTCACAGAATTCACAATGTTCATGTTGTTCATAAAAATTGTGCTATTGGTCTACATGCAATATATCATTTTGCATACTAACAGGTCTGAAACCATGATTTCTTCTAGGAGTCAATGAAACCAGGTGAGGGAGGAAAACCATCTGGAGAACTTTTAGATTTAATCAACAGAGACTTTGGTTCTTTCAAAGAATTTGTTAAAGAGTTCAAGATAGCTGTGGTAACACAATTTGGCTCCAGTTTGGCGTGGCTTGTGTGTAAGCCTTTGCCCTCAATTCTATTCCTTTTTTATTTCTCATCATGATTATGGCTTTCATCGAATTAAATTTATATAAAAATTGATTGCTTTTCTTTTCTTTTATTTTCTTGTAGACAAAACAAATAGATTGGACGTACGAAATGCAGAAATCCACGCCCATCGATGAGGACAAGAAGCTTGTAGTAGTGAAGCGTCCCAATGCCATAAATCCTCTTGTTTGGGATTACTTTGTGAGTATCTTAGCGTCTTTCAAGTTCCATCTTAACTGTATAGTTTTCTAAATTACTTAAATTGGACCTTCTATAAACTTTTGTGTTATTGTCTAGTTCTTTCTTCTTTTTTGGTGTAATTGTTCTTATTACCTGAGATTCTCATGGCGTTGTTTTGGTCATATGGTGCAGCCACTACTTACCGTAGACGTTTGGGAGGTAACCAATTAGAAATATTCTATTGTTTGTTCTTTAAAACGATGACTTGTAACTAATTTTTATGTTTTATTGACACAGTCTTTTTTTCATGTACAGCATGCTTACTCCATCGACTATGAGGTGAGTAGTGACTTTCTTCATGTTAGCAACACTCAAGTCTCATGGTTTCTCGCACTTTTCAATACCTAAAAGCAACATTACCATATCATCATTTATAGAACCAACGACAAGATTATTTTTCTGTCTTCATGGAGAAGCTTGTTTCTTGGATTGGAAGCAGTGAGTTCCAGGCTTGAATCTGCCAAGGCTGAGGCCACAGAGGGAATGAGAAGAAGAGAAAGAAAAAGAGGAAGAAGAATATGCAACAGCAAATTCTGAAGCAATAGAAATGTATTTGGAAAGTGATAATTCTGAGGCTGATTAATAATACTACTGTTTTTTATCCAATTCTGATATGTATCAAATAATAAACTGGCACATGTATGCTATGTAAGACGACCATCATTAATCATCATTGATGCTACAAAAAATTGTACCTGAATAATCTCGAACTTGAGGACAAGAAATGAAAATGAATTGATCTCCAATACCTGAAATAAAAGGAGTCGAGGTATGTCATCGTTACCCATCCGATGTTTAAGAGAGAAAGAGAATTTATGTGTAGGGATGTGAACTCCTAAAATTATGTAAAAATGTACCTGAATGATGAGCCTTAATTTTGTAATTACAGAGGTTGGTGGCAGGATCCTTTAATTATTAAATCACCTGGAATCCCTATCCTTATCACCTAAAGTGATTAATTTTACTAAAATTGCCTCTTGGAGTTTAAATTGTACTATAAGATGTTAGATATTTGGATAAGGATGATTGTAGAGAATTTGAGTTATGGGAAGACTAAAACTTCTAAAAGGCACGAGATAAGGGCACGAAGAGTTGTATCACCAACATTAGGCTCGATCCTGCCAAGACCTGACCACCAGGCCCGACCACTTTTATGAGGAATTGGGGTACGACTGTTCAGGGATAGTAGCTCGGGCTATATGCGAAGGCTCAGGATTGTACTACATTTTTTGTGTACATCACAGGACCTCGTACATCCAAATCCCAGCTTGTGAATGAATGAATGGGCTTGCGAGATGAGGTGTAAAGAATTTTGAGCAACTCAAGCCTGAGCACCGCCTTTAATCATGGTACACATGTGGGTAAGTGACACGTGGATGCCACGTGTAGGGTAAAGTACAAGTTGCTGGATGGATGGCACATGGCTCGAGGCCAAGGGCCAGGATTTGATGACCATTGGCTTTTCCTTTAGGCCTATAAATATCTCATTTTCACCTTTATTTTTTCACTTTTTACTTCTTAACTCTCTGTAGAAAAGCAGTTCGTGATTGGGCTTTTAGTGGGTTTGTGGGGCGATCGATCTTCAAGGTAAGCGCTTGATACTTTAACATTGTTCTAATTTTAATAATCAAATGTTGAGCAGTAGTGAGAGTGGGAACGATTCCTTGGGAGTATCGGCTCGAGTAGTCGTGACGATTTAATGTCGTCTCTTATCCCGATGGTCGAGCCTATTAGTGCTCATCATCGGGAAGAAGATATCCTTACCTTCCTCGAGCTCTCCATCTTCTACAAAGAACATAAAATTATAGAGGTAGCTAGGAGGTACAGGGTGATGCAAAGGTGTGATAATAGGGCCCCGAACCTAGTGATAGAGTGGTCGATCCTTGAGTGGGTGAGATGACCTTTTTTAGGGATTTCTTGAAGAGAGGTATGAGGTGGCCCCTTCACCCATTCTTTATCGAGTTTCTAGTTACATTTTATATGTGCCCGAGCAAGTTCGTACCGAACAGGTGGATGATGTTAATATATTTTTTATAACATGTAGATATTTAGAGATTAGGCCTAGGATTAACCCCCTTAAAATGGTGTATGAACTCAAAACAGCCTCAGGCTATAACTCTTCGCAAACCTGTCGTCTTGAGGAGATTTTCGGGCGCCCAAAATGTAGAGTTCTCTTCAGGGTTGGAAGCAGCATTTTTTTTGTCAAACCCTAGGACACTGACCACCCCTTTAGCCATATGTGGGACGTCATCGATTTAACGAGGATCGGGCCTATTTTGATGTGTTACAGAATGATAGAGTGAAGTTAGAAAATCTCGATCCGTTGGTGTATAAGCTCGAGCACATTCTTGATGATGATATCTTCGACCTTGCCAATGTAAGAGGAATCGAGGGTAGAGCTTTCTACTGTTCTTTCATTTTCTTTAAATATGGATGTATTTTCTCGAGGTATAGATCGAGTTATTGAGTTGTGATTTTTGTAGAAGTTTAAATGAATTTTAATCCAGCCAATCTTCGAGCCTCGATCTCAAGAAAGCCCCAAGGAAAGAAACTTTGTCCTACTGCCCATGTCAAGTGCAAGGGAAAGAAAAGGATGAAGAACACACCTCTAGTTACCATTCCCGATGAGTGGGGACGTCATTTAGCCCGAATAGAAATCCTTCCCCTCCATCCCCTAGCATGTTCGATCATCAATACCTCAAGGAATTCCGGAGGTCGTGGATTTAGAGGACGATGCTATGCAAGGAGGGTACGAAGGTAGCATGCTGATCTCGAGCATCGTTGCCAAATATTCGATGGAGGTCAAGCTTGAAGAGGGGGTAAAAAAACCTCGAGCTCTTGACACTTAAGGTATTGTTTTTATTTTATTTTACCATTATTATTTTTTATTATGCCTCAACTAATGATAATGCTCGAGTTTTGTTTTCAAACATTGAGTGTTGCCCATGGGCTAATCGCAAGGGAAAGAGGGAGTCAAGAAAAATGTTAGAGCTTAAAGAAGCTGCAGATGGTAGCAAGAGGGAGCCAATGAGCTTGAGCACGAGATTGGCGAGGCTCGTGTTGATTCCAGAAAAGTTCATGAAGAGGCCATACTGATGGGGGACGAGGTCAAGGAAGCAAAGCTCAAGCTTATCCATGCCAAGAGAAGTTCCGAGGAATAGCTCGCTCAAGCTAGTGATTAGGCAGTGGATGACTTCAAAATTCCCTGAGTTCGGGAAGTTGCAGGGGGATTATGGGGCTAGTTCATAAAATTATGGCCTGAAATAGGCTCTATTATTCCTCCGTCCCTGACTGCATGAGGATATGAATTCCCTGATTGAGTTCCTGAGGACCATAGATGAGCTCCAAGCCGAGCTTGAGCTTTCCTTCATCGAGGTTGAAGTTACGGGTGAAGATAACGAGCATGATGAGGAAGTCGACCAAGAGGTCAAGGTCGAGGATGCTACAAATGAAGACACTCACGATCTAAACTAGGTTCCCCAACCCCGAACCTTTAATTACAATTTTTTGTTTTTTGGAATGTAACTTCAAGTACATAGCTTGTTCTTTTTTGGATATTATCATTTTTTATTTTATTGTTGCAAGTGCTTAGCCTGATGTTGTCCTAACGAATTGATCTGCATTTTACTCACGTTTTCCATGTTACATCCTGAATTTTTTATTCTTAGGTTTCGAGCTATACTTGTTTTGACTTCAAAGTTCGTTATGATTAAGTTTTAACTTTTAGGCTCGAGCTAGTCCTTGTTTATTGTAAGTTCAGCATTATTACTTGTGGATAACAAGGCCAACAAAGCGCTCGAGCTATTTTTATTTGATGTTAGATCTCAATCCTTTAGGCTTCAGCTATTCTAGCTTGAGTTTATTACTTCTGAATAACAGGCAAATTGCTCAAGCTGTTAGCTATATTAGCTCGAACTTGTTACTTTTGAATAAAAAGTAAGCAAATTGCTCGAGGTGTTATCGCACGAGGTGAAGCAAATTGCTCGAGGTGTTATCGCACGAGGTGTCAGCCATTTTAGCTCGAGCTTATTACCTGTGAATAACAAGTAAGTAGATTGCTCGAGGTGTTATCGATTGAGATGACAGCCATTTTAGCTCGAGCTTGTTACATGTGAATAACAAGTAAGCAAATTGCTCGAGGTGTTAGCATTCGAGGTGTCAGCCATTTTAGCTCGAGCTTTTACTTGTGGATAACAAGGCTATTAGAATGCTTGAGCTATTTTATTTGAATTTTAGAGCCCTATGAATGGTGATATTGAACATTTTGTGTTCGACTTTTAAGTGCGTTCTCATGGGCACAACTTTCAAATGTATGCTCGTGGGCACAACTTTTAGGTGCTTGATTATGGCACGACTTTCATGTGCGTGCTCGTAGGTACGATTTTTAGGCACATGTCGTGGGCACGACTTCCGGGGTCCATGCTCGTGCCATGATTTTCAGGCGTATGCTCTTGGGTATGACTTTTCGGTGCATGCTCGAGGCACGGCTTTCGGTGTATGCTTGAGACACGACTTTTAGGTTTTTCTGAAAAAAATTTGTGGGATTATCCGAACTGCTACTCTATATAAACTTTACTATCTTCTAAAAATAATGTAGGCTTGTAGGCCTTGACAAATTAAATTGTCTAAGAAAAGAATAATGTATGGGACATGGAAGCTCGACTAATGATAAACTAACTAAAAGTAAAAATGCACAAGGCATGCATGCCCAATTAAAAGTAAACTAGACTAAATAGCTAAACTAGCAACGTAGGGTCAACTACTTGTAATAAATGTTTAGATTATTTGCATTCCAAAGTTTTGGAAGTGCTCTCCTCGAGCTGTCTCTTAGGCTGTATGATCTACCGTGGACTTGTTGTATTACTTGGAAAGGTACTTTTCATATTGGTCCTAAGTTACCTAAGGTATGACTAGCTGTTTTTGCTCTTCTCAAAACTAAATCTCTCGCCTTGAACCATATTGACTTAACTCTGTTGTTAAAGTGTTTTGTTATTCTATTCTGGTACGACGTTACTCTTATGGTAGCCTATTCACGGACTTCTTCCAACATGTCAAGATGTTCAGTAGTATGTTCCTCTAACTCAGGGCTGAGGCGTTTCATGCTGTATAGGCTTACTTCAACCTAGATTGTATCTTCGATACCAAATGCTATAATGAAAGGGGTCTTGCCTATTGTCCAGTGAGACGTCATGTAAGTCCAAAGTATGAAGGGTAGTACATCGGGCCAAGTACTTAGAGTATCTCTTATCCTTGTTCAGAGGTCTTATAGTATGATCCGATTAGTTACCTCAACTAATCCATTGTTTTGTGGGTGCGATACTAACGTTAAATGATGTTGTATCCCGAAGTTTGTATAAAAAGTTCTAAATTGACTGTCGGCCATTTTTTGTTATCAATACCTTAGGTATGCCAAACTTGTAGATGATTAACTTCCAAACGAATCCTCTAAGTTTGGGGTCTGAAATTATTGCTAGCTGCTCTGCCTCTACCCACTTTCATTAATTACTCAACTGCTACAGCAACAAACTTCAATTGGC